ATCTTCATCTCCAACTCTGTTGACAGCGTGACGGGCCTTTTTGCTAACGCCCGCTTGAGCTCCATATTGTTGGTGGCCTCCATGAGGTGATGGGCGGCGGTTTCGGGGGTAAGGTCGCGGACGGCCATTGCTACCCTGGACCATCTGGCATAGAAGGCTCTCAAGCTTTCTCAGTCTTTTTGCCTGATATCTATCAGGGATTTGAGGTGAAGAGGGCGCCGCTTCTGGGACGCGAACTTTGTTGTGAACAGAAGTATAAACTCCTCGAACGAGCGGATGATTCCGTTCGGGAGGCGGTTGTACCAGTCGAGGCATATTCCGGTGAACGTCGATGGGAAGGTTCTGCACAGCGCGGCGTTGGAGTTGGTTTGGAGTTGCATGCGCAAGCAGAAGGTGCTCACGTGGTCTTCTGGGTCGGTTGTGCCGTTGTATGTTGGGAGGGTGGGTGGCGCTCCGCTTAGGTTCTCCGCCATTATTTGCGCGGTCAGTGGCTGGTGGAGGACCCTTTTAGGCGGGTTGGGCCGATATTGCGGAAATAGGTGTTGCTCCAAAAAGCTGAGGTCCGCCCGCCCTGGTAGCTCGACTCCTTGCGTTTCGCACGCGGGGAGTTCCGTTGGCGCGTGTTGGGGTAGTTGGGCTGTCCCCGACGCTTCTCCCAAGGCTTGTTGAGGCGCGACCGCTGTCGCGTCTATCGTTGGCGCGCCCTCCCTGCTCAACATGAGCGCGATGACTTGGCTCATTTGTTTCTGCATGTCGGCTATGACGTTGTTTTGCTTCGTCAACAGCTCCCTCATTTCTTTGGCTGTCAGCTCGGGCTCCTCCTCTTCGATGAGCACCGCGTTGAGGTTGCTGGCTTCCGCGAACGCCCTTGGGTCGGTCATTGCCTTGATTGGCGTCGCTTGATCAGGTTGGTCGTGGTTGCGCTCTGCCATTGGTGGGTTTTCTTCAGCGTTTCTTCTTGGCCCCACGGTGGGCGCCAATTGTTTGAACCTAACTGAGTGTAGGAGTGAGGTTCAGGGAAGATGTGGGTCAAGAAGAGTAAGCTAGAGGAAAATCGGGAACTTTGGGGGTGAGTTTGAGAGAATTCCCGTTTAGAGAGAGAAGTTGATGTTTATAGAGAGAGAGTGGTAAAAAATGCGATCCCCTCACCCACCGGAGTAAATGCCATATTTATAGGCTACATGGTGGTGGGTGAGTGGATGGATTACATGATGGGACCTTGACTCTGATGTGACCACTGACATGTCGGGGATTTAGGCCATCCCCCTACCTAGGACATGTCAGGGGTGTACCTACGACTGTGTCACTGATCCCGACGCGGCTGACCCTCGGGAAGTGTGAGGGGAACTCCCTATGGCTAAGTGGCTTACAGCGCGCCTGAGCTTCTGCGCCTTGATGCTTTCCACTCTCGCGCGGCTTGTGAGGAGCTCTGGGTCTTCGCGCGCTGGTTCTCTGCGCTGGCGCACGCGTAGTGGCGCGCCCTTAAGCCTGCATGCGCGCCTTAGACCTTCGCGCGCGTCTTCTGTCGGCGTGTCCTGCCTTGCACAGCTAGGTCCGAGTCACATGCCCAACAACAACTTTATTATAGCTAAAATATGATGTAATAAAAGAAAAATCCTGAGTAATTTGACTAAGATTACAGGTCGGGTCGGACCCCCCCCCCACCCCCCAAACAGACTAAACAGGTCGGGTAAAATGGGTCAGGTCGAAATTGACATCCCTACATGTAAGTGATAGTTAATCTGAGTAGTCCAGGGTCGGCTAACAGGATGTGTCGAGAGATCATCCGTTATAGGGCCTTCGAATATGATAGCTCTATTTAGATTTGTTAGGTAAGCTATACTTGTGGTATATGATTATGGATTATATTTGTACGATGTTTGATTTAATTTTATTATTCACTAGTGATCAGTATTCTCATGTATATAAGGAGACACATACAATGTTTTTAAAGTCCTACTTGTATGAAGAAAGTCTCTTTTCTCTTAAAAAATGTTAGAAGAAGCATTAATGAATTAGCTACGACAATGATTAAAAATGATGTCCTCCAAAACAAAACTCACGGAGAATGAGTATTAGAGAGTTCACTGATAATTTTTTCGAACAAATTTGAAAGATACTAATTTTTAAATAACGATGGTGATTTTTCCATTTTCTATTGAACGGCTCTGAGCAGTCAGGGACGGAGCTAGCTTAGCAAGTTGGATACTTGATACAAGAGTCCCTCACTATTGAGAGACACCATTGACAATCCCCTGTTTGCAACTTGCAATACAAATGATTGTCTCTCTTCTCTTGTGAGGAAGTGATGGAGGAAAAGTGAACTCAAATGACCATATGTAGAGTTAGGGTTGGCGGACGGTTTTCCGGTTAGCAGTTAACTGGACGGTTCCGATCGAACCGACCGGTTTTCGGCTAACCAAAAATCGTCCTTAATTGGCGTCGGTCGATCGTCGGCGGCGAGGGGAGAAAGCTCGGCTAGCCGACCAACCGAGGTTGGAAATCGGCGGTTAGCCGACTAACCGAGCCTTTACCCAGCCTAACCTAAACGACCCGGCCCCCTTCTCAAAACGACCCCCCTCAAAACGACCCCCTCTCTAGTCCCTCCCCAAACCCTAGACCCGATTCACCACTCACCCGACCCTCTTCTCTTCCGTCATCCCACTCCCTCTCTTTCCTTAATCGCGTCGCGCAGCAGGGGCCAGGGAGACCTCAGACCCTCTCGTCGCCGTCGGCCGTCGCACAGCCGCCAGCCCGCCACTCGCCGGTCGCCGCCGAGCCTCCAATCGGCACCAACTGTCCGCCATCGCCGAGCCAGTCAACAGCCCGCCATCGCTGCGCCTCCAGTCGCGCCAGTCAACAGTCGAGCCTCGCCGCCGAGCCTCCAATCGCCGCCGAGCGTCCAACCACCTAAACCACCGCCGCCTCCTAACCCGCCGCCTCCACCAACACCTCCGCCAAACCCACCACCTGCACCCGCTCCACATCCTCACCGCGGCGGAGGCCATCACCGGCGTTCCGAGCCCGGCTCATTTTCTGGCCTTCTGGGTAAGACAAGGGAGAGTGAGAAAGAGCAGAGAGAGGGAACGATTTGTTCTTGGTTTGTTGGTTCGCTTTCTTCTTTTAGATTGGAGGAGAAATATCGAGAGAGAGAGAGAGAGAGGAGAGAGGATGTCGGCGATTGAGGGAGGCAGAACGAGAGAGGTGAGGGAGGAGGCGATTTCGGGATCTCGGTGGTGGAGTTGGTTTTTCGATTTTCCTTTCAGAGGAAGAAGAGAATCGAGAGAGAGAGTAGGGAGAGAGAGAGTCTGGGAAGAAGAATCGAGAAAACGGAGGGGTTAGGTTAGGAGTGAGTGGTGCAGATTTTTTGTTGCTTTTAATTTTTTTTTATAGAAAAGGTAGTTTCCGGTTGGCCGGCTAACCGAGTCGAAACCGGCCAGTCGGTTTGCGGCTAACCAAGGCGCACGGACGGTCGGTTGGCGGCAGCTCTGGTCGATGTCTCGGTGTGACCGATAACCGACAATTCGATTTTCGGTTAAACCGAAACCGACCGAGTGACAGCTCTATGTAGAGTGGATGGAAGTAGAGCAGAAAGCAGAACTGAAGCAAGTCGGCGGATCTATACATCTAATTGGGCTGAAGTAAAGTAAATGAGAGAAAATCAAATCATGAAGAAACAAACAAATGGAGGTGCTGCTTCTTATTAATGAATGAATCCATAGCTAGCTAGTAAGTACTCTGCGATCTGTGAATGGTATTTACACACTTTTTATCAGAAAATTGTAAAAAAAAAATCAGTCAGTCCCGCCAACAGACGAGCATGACGACGCATCTCCTGATAACGTAGAGGCGGCCCTGTTGTTGCTTCAGGTACTTCCCCAGCTTCCCGCACGACGACATCGTCATCTTCGGCCTCTTTGTTGTTGTTGTTGTTGACCTTCTGCACGACGAGGCCAAATCAGATGCTGACGATGACGATGCTCTGCTGCTGCTGCTGCTGCTGCTCCTCATCTTTCTTTGTTTGCTTAATTGGCCCAAGTAGTAGACAATATGATCACTTTGTGTTTCCAACGAGTTGGGAGGAGTTGAAATTGCTTCAGGTTCAGGTAGTAAGTAAGATATGAGAGTGAAGAAAAGGAATGAGTAGTGTGTTTGGTGCTGCAGGGGAGGGGAAGGGCAGGTATTTATAGGGGAAGAAAGGGAAAGGGTAAAAGAGTATTATAGTGGAGAGTGGAGTGGTCCAACTTTCCCTGTGAACATGCGCGTTGCCAGGAGATAGGCCCCCTCCCACCAAAACAAAATCCAAATACCTAAACACAATAGATCTTTCCAATTTTATAGTCTCTCTTTCCAATCTTATTTGTTTATTTGCTGTATGGTTATATTATTTAGGCTCTATGGAGATGACAAAATTGTTTTTTTTTTTGTATCTCCTAAGGAGTTGGCTATATATTTTTGGTGATAATGTGAAGATTGGAAACATTAACCACATTTTAGGTTTGAATTTTGGAGCAAACAGCCAACGAAAAAATAAAATTTTCAAACTAGGATGGGTTAAGTGAAGCCAATTTGAATCAATTTTATTGTACAAAATCTTATTGACACAATGTTCGGGTTGATTTTTAGAAGGAAAAAAAAAGGGTTAAAGACACATTTGGTCACTGAGATTACTAAATTGGGACATGTTTAGTCACTAGAAAAAATTAATATCAATTTTAGTCACTCGAATTACTGGAACAGGTCACATTTAGTCACTCTCCGTTCGTCTCCGTCCAACTCCGTTAATGAAGTCTGTTAAGTGCTGATGTGGCAAACAGAGGTGCCTAGTCAGCGCCGTTTTGAGTCGGAAATGGTCAAACCCGAACCGCCACGTCACTAAACCCGCCATGTCATATGCCCAACCAACCCATGCACCCACCCGACCCATAAACCAAACCCAACCTTTCTAATTCCACTTCTCTTCTTCGATTCCTCCTTTTCCTTTCCTCCGGAGCGCCGATCTGGTCAAGGACTACGGAATCACCACCGACAACGTCCTCCACTTGGTCCTCAAGCTCTCCGACCTCCTCCTCATCACCGTTCGCACCACCTGCAGCAAGGAATTCGAATTCCGCGTCGACCGGTACCGAAATGTCGGATACCTAAAACACCGCATCTTCCAAGAGGGCAAGGGTTTCGTCGACGTCGACGAGCAGGAAATCTTCTACAACGGTCAGAGACTCGATGACCAGCGCCTCATCGACGAGATCCGTGACACCAGAGCCGCAGACGCCGCCGCGATTCACCTCCTCGTCCAGAAAATCGCCAAGGTCAGAGCCCAGCCGCTGAACAGAGATTTCGAGATCTCCGTCGCCGCCGCAACAAACCCTAATCAAAATCAGAACCAGAACCAGAAGCAGAATCAGGAGTCGTCGATTGAGGCGCCAAATCAGGAGCAAGCTGGTAGGGATTTCTGGCTAGAACCCGTGATCGTAAACCCTAGCGTGAGATTAGATTCAGCGATTTGGAACATGGTGAATTCAACCTTCGTCGGGTTGGAAATGGGTCACCCGCCGATCCGTTCGTCGGAAGGAACAGGGGGACTTATTTCATGAGGAACCCATCAGGGCAAGGGTTCGTATCCGTGTTCAAGCCCAGCGACGAGGAGCCTAATGCGGTGAACAACCCGCAGGGACTGCCGGTGTCGACCAACAGGGAAGGGTTGAAAAGAGGAACAAGGGTAGGGGAAGGTGCGATTAGAGAAGTTGCCGCTTACATATTGGATCGTCCCATTGACGGACCGAGGGGTCTGAACAATGAAGTGATGGGGTTTGCAGGTGTGCCGCCCACCATTGTTGTTCAGTGTTTGCACAAAGGGTTCCATCATCCTGAAGGGTTCGAGTACTCTGCCAAGAATGTGAAGATGTGGTGGTGGTTGTAATTGGGGCGGAGGTGGGGGTGGTGGAGATTGGTTTCGATGTTGGAGAAGGTGAGAAGTGGGAAAGGGGTTTTTTTGGTTTTCTGGGTGGGTTGGAAGGTGGTGGGAGGAATGAGGAGAGCGGCGGTGGTTTTGGGGAAAGAAGGAGGTGAGAGGAAGGAGGAAGAAGGGTTAGGTGGGGTTGGATCATGGGTTGGGTTGGTTTTAATGACATGGTGGGTTATAATGACGTGGCGGGTCGGGTTTTATTTTTGTTGGGTTATATCCGGCTGATTAGGCAATTCTGTTTGCCACATCATCACTTAACGGACTTCATTAACGGAGTTGGACGGAGACTAACGGCGAGTGACTAAATGTGTCCAGTTTTAGTAATTGTAGTGACCAACTTTGATATTAATTTTTTCTAGTGACTAAACATGTCCCGATTTTGTAATCTCAGTGACCAAATGTGTCTTTAACCCATAAATTATTAGTTATAATATAGTCTATGCTTCAAATGAGAAAGAAAATTAGCTCTAACATGAAATATTAAAAAAATGGAGTCGCTACTTAATTTGTTGGTAGGGGGTTAAGTACAATGCATGTCCACGTGGATATTATGTTGAGAGTATTACTGTCGTTGCTTGGAACTTTTAGTACCTTTTTGTACTTTTCCCTTTGTTCCTTTTGTATTGCCCTAGAGACTTGTTGCTGGGCATATAAGTAGGATCGGCTTCTTGTGCGGCCACCTAAGAACACTACTACACAAAACTACTGCAGAAGATATAAGAGCTTGAGATCGATCCTCCGTGGAGTAAGGTCATCCATCCTGGATGACAAGAACCACGTAAATCGCTGTGTCGTGTGTTTGTTTGCTTCCGCGTTTACTTTATTTTACATATTAAGGTATTAAAAAGAGATTAATTAAGTGGTAATTCACTAATTTATACTGTTAATTAAGGAAACTACCGCGATGCTTCTCACATATTCACGTCGACCGCCCTTATCAGTGAAAACATAAAAAGTATACGACTGCCTCTCCCTAGCACTATGCACAGACAAAATTGGGCCGTCTTTGCGTAAGCCAGCTCGACACGTCCGTCTCAAGCTGTCTATGCCTATACTAATTCATCTAACGAATTGATTAACCAGTAATCCAACTTATCTTCAATTATTTCTGTCTTTGTGAAAAATTAATTAATTAAGCAATAGAGGCCATGATAATACGGAACTCCCTTGTTTCATTTATCAACCTATAAATTTGTCTATATTCTCTGTAGCAATTTCAGGAACGGATCATTTGGCCAAGCAAATTAAATACTATAAAATAAGCTATAGGATTCGGCTCGTGAGTTCCTGTAGCTTTTTTTATTTTCTTGCATCGTGAATAAGATCCCATTATATGGGGATCAAATTTGGAAGAAGAGTAATATTTAATATTCCATAAAATCACACCATCTAATTAATTGTACACATTAATGATAAACACGTATAGATTATTTCTCGTACGTATCAGCCAGATGGTCTCTATATGCATGTATGTATCTCAAATTCTCAATCGATGTCTCGGAAATCGAACTATCGTCCCTAATTTTTGGAGCTGTGGCTGGTTTCCATGATTCATGGGATATGTTGCTTAGGATCTTCATTTCTGTGTTGATTCAGTAAGCGTGGTTTGTAAATAAAGACAGGGGGGAACAATTTCTGGGCTGACAAGTGTTTTGCTGTAAACTTCAAACCACACGCTAAGGAAGCAGGGGAACAATTTCTCGGCTGACAAGTGTTTTGCTGTAAACTTAAAACCAACCTACTCCCAACACTAGCTTAATTAATTAATTAATTAATTTCACAACAACACTAGTAGTATATATCTTATAGGCAATCCTCAGGGCAAATCTATCTATAAGGAATTGAACGCACAAATAAGATGTTATTAGTACGGAGGTTTAAGAATGTACGTTTGAATGATGCTCTATTTATTTCATTTGATCTACATTCTCTTAACGAAATCAATCCCTAAGTCTAAAACTTGATCATGCTCTAAACGATCGTATATTGATATGATTAATCGTTATGATGAATACTGTTAGGGGTTGGAAGCACTTGACACGTGACACATTCATGTCAATAATGTCGCGTCGAGAGAACCAACTCATCTTACTAACTCGCGAATCACACACATTATTATACGAATTACTGTTTAATAACAAAACCAATATACAGACACACCCCTCCTTGCAATCTTTCGAATTTGGCCCCCTCGTTCCTAACTAATTAAGGACTGCATATATGTTTTTTTTTTTTTTTTGTTAAACTGGAACAAGAATGTAATTAGCATTTGGCAGTAGTGTGAAACACTGATCAAAGACAATAAATTAAATAAATAATGGCCTGGTTTTTTTTTTCTTGGTATATGTATATTTAATATCCAGGCTGTGTACTGGTTCGTTCCTAGTTTGACCATGAATTATTGCCATCACCTCTGACCCCGAAATTTGATGCTGCTTTAGGAAAGAAAGATATTCCATTACTGTTTGAGTTAGTGGTAAAAGACTGATTAAGATTAAGCAATAATCCATGGCGAGGACTTTTGTGTGGATTAGACATAGGAGAGAGCGTGATCAAGAAGGAGTAAGATTAAACGAAAAATAAAAAAGGAGAGGAGAAAATGATCGAGAGTTGTGGGAACTCTGATACCTCTGAAGACAGAATAGTTGAGAGAAAAGAGTGAAGAAAACAAAATCTAATTTGCATTAATGGTCGAAAAAACTAGGGTGGTGTAGTACAACTGATGAGCTCGAGGGTTTATATTGAGCGATAAGAGCCGGAGTGTCGTAAGGGTTATTTATAAAAGGATAGATACACTTTTATACTTGTATATCCTTATCTATATAGAAATGTTACCTAGTCCTGAACTATTACATTTTTGACAAACTTGTCATAAGCAGTTCTCACCACCTAAGCCATGATCTTGATCAAGTGCCGATCACGGTCTCTCATATAATGACCTTGTGAGAGTCTCGTCTTTGTCGAGAGAACTTCTTGTACGACTCATTCTCTTGCCATGCGTCCACCATACGAGTTGCGCTCAAACATTCAGATTTTTTTTTAATTTTACACCTTAGATCCCAGCTTCTGATTATTATGTTATTTTTCCTTTTCCTAATTGAAGTCTGAACACTAATCAATTATTAAATTTTAATAGTAACAAAGCATAATCAATTAAAAGGCAGTTGTTTGTTTTGGAATGGGGGCATGCATTACCTAGGCCCATGAAGATTGGAGGATAAAAAGAGGCATAATTGTGGGTATATGGGAGATGTTGGGTAGGGTCAATGACAAATGCATGAGCCATTCCCTTGTAATTGTGTACATGAACAATCACACCCATACCCAAAACCAGACACAAAATTTCAATGATTTTGATCTCACCTATACTTTACCTAGGAAACCCAATATAAAAGAAAAAGGAAAGAAAGAAAGAAACAGAACCCAGTAAGCTAATCAAATCCATTTGTGGGTTCTTTGTTTATTATAGGCAGATAAGATAGCCAAATGATAGGAAGGAAGCTGGGTAGCAAGAACAGTGGAGCATGTCATCATGCAAAGCAAAGCAAGGAGTTGTTTGGTTGGTAGTAACTAGTATAGAATTGAATGGAGCTAAGCTAAGCTAAGTCCAGGTGGGTTTCCATTTCCTTTCTTCACTTTTGTCATTTTACACTGAACTTGGAAGAAAAAGCATACAATATCACAAGGCTGTAGCAGGAATGGAGGACATACCCCCCACGTGATGCTCTCGTGACCAGGTATGGTCGCTGCCTTTTTGCATCCCAGACAGACAACCTTGATTCTCCTTTTGTTATGTTTATATATATAACATTAAACATGATTCTCGTATCTCTGTCTTGGTTAACCCGAAGATTACTGTCTCAAGAGTAACAAATGGGTATTTGCGAAGTGATGTTATATATACACTGAACTTAGCTAATTCCCAGTTCCATCCACCGACGGCATTTCAGGGGAAAAGTTCGATTAGCTCTTCTACACGACAGCTCATCTCAGGTGATAGAATCTCAGCGTATCTGTGTCTTGACTCTTGACTCAGACTGTGGATGGGATTAGTTTATACTATCCAACAATTAATGGCGATAACGACATTAATTAGTGTAATTAGCGGGATGGGATGGGACTGTCCATCATTGTACGGTACACTTGGGGGCTCTGCATCTGCTCCCATTCCATTCCATATGAGAGAAGAGAGGAGGAAAATATAAAGAAGTTTTGTTTTAGTGTCGTACCCAATTGTGTTTTCTTCTTTGTGATTTTGGTTGGGTGTGCCAACATTAGGCCTGTTTTGTATGGGTTGTAAACAGAGCCCATTTCACGAAGGGAGTTGCTAAAGGTCGCCCTTAAAATTGCTAAAGGTCGCCCTAAAAAGAATAAAAGTTACACTTTTAACCCCCATAGCTTCTTTACCTTCCCTTCCTCAAACAAACATCACTTGGACTAAAAAAACACTCTCTAAGGAGAGAAAAATCTCTCATCGTCATTTTGAAGCCGATATCGTCGATAGGACGTCTGAATCATGAGTAGCGACTCCGACGAGGTAAGAACATGAACCGGAAAAAAAAACACAGAAAATGGGAACCGCGGGTGATTTGCGGTCCGACCATGGTCCAACCGCAAGTGACCTGCGGTTGGACCATGGTCGGACCGCAAATCACCTGCGGTTGAGCCATTGGTGGACCGCAATTGACCTGCCGTTGGACCATGGTCGGACCGCAAATCACCTGCGGTTCAGCCATGGTCCAACCGCAGGTCAATTGCGGTCCACCAATGGCTCAACCGCAGGTGATTTGCGGTCCGACCATGGCCAAACAGCATGTCACTTGCGGTTGGGCATTTTTTGGGTTTTTTTTTTCCGTTGAATAATTTTCTATTTTTTATATGATTTATGATTGGTCCATGAAATAATTTGTTGGGTTTTGATTTATATAATTTATTAGATTTATTTGCATAATTAT